GCAGAAGTAGTGAGGACTAGGATACCTTTGGAAGATACTGAGACATTCAACACCTTGTAGACCATACTTGCAAACATTAGGATCCAATTTTCAATATCACTGTGTGTGGAGAGGATAATTCTTTCCACAGTCTTTTTCATCAATCAGTTCTGATGCAAACTCTGTCTCCTGTAGTCTGTGTAGGTGTGGGACAAGGTCTCTTTATTACATGTATGCTGAAAGGGAGGTATCTTTTTGTTCTGTGAACTAATGTAACAATGACAATGATTAATAGTGGAATTGATCCAGAAATGTGGCCACAAAATCTGTTTTAATGCAGGTTCAAAGACTGTAATGTTCTCAGCATTGGCATAGAGAATTGGGGGGTTTGTTCTTCCAGTCCCTAAGCAAAAATTGTTTTCTCCAGTGTATAGATGCATTTTTCTTTTCATTTTGTACTTCATCCATATAAACCTTGTTTACTAATACGAATGCATAATAGGCACAGTTTCAATAACTAATTTGTGTACATTTCTTCAAAAAAGTCAGGTAGGCTAACATTTCCCTGGAGAAGGTATATAAGAAGTCAATCAAATATGTATAACATGATTGCATCAGTCAAATATACACAATTACTGAGCTGTTCAAATACACATTCATTTCATGTATTTATGTTTTCATTCTTAAAGAAAACAGAAGTCAAACATTATTATTTTTATGTAGAGGAGATACATTCATTCTCATCCTTTTAAATTAATGTTCACCATCTGTAAATGTAAATTAATAATTTACAACTCTGTAATTATATTCAAATCACTGAGGGAAGGGAAGCGAAACCTCTGTTTTTCTTCCAGTTCTCTTTAATGGAGTCTGTGGCTGTTATAATCATGACAGATGTTACACTTTGAATATCACTGTAGTTCCAATATCCCTGCTTAAATTTACAGAAAACTTGAAATAATGGGTGTGAATTTCCACATTCATTTCAGTTATGCATTAAGTGAAACATTAGTTTAAATTTAGCTTTCAAAATTAGTACTGTAATTATGGGAAGCATATATCTTATAGTTTCTTCCAAAGTAAATCTGATTGTGGGATAAAATGGAGAACGATGCTAAGCATATAGAAGATTTGTATGTTAAGGCCTTTAAGAACATATTGCAGGATCTGTTGGGGAGATCATAACTGGTTTTATTGTATCCATTTAGCTCACAGACAGACCCGTCTTTCATCAATCTGGGAAATGTTATGTCAGGTAATGTGTAAAGGACTATGAGATCATGAACCATTGACAAAATATAGTTTTTGTATTTGTAAGGTATCTAAGATTCATTGGGAGCTGTAAATTCAGACAGTGGTGCATTGAACTGTACACATAAACAAAAATAAATTCTCCTCTGTCTCTGTATCCATAAATTTCCTTCCCCTTTGTAAACCACTGCTGTAGTCCTAGATTTAATTAAGACAGTGATTAACGTATCTGTAACTGTACACACAAGCATAAAGCCTACATCATACTCCTTAACAGCAGAAATGCATTCCTGTCATAGTTTTGTAAACCTATTGCTTTTCCTTCAAAGCAGACAAGCCAGTGTTTCACCCTAATGATGAACATAGACTGGACTGAAACTTTATGTCACGGGTCCAAGGGGAATGTGAGTAGGTATTTCTAAAAGCTGTGCATATGGAGTACATGTCTGTTCTCCTTGCAAGGAGCACAGTGTTTTTCTCATTCTTGAGCATGCTGTTGCAAATGTACAAAACCAGGACTGGAATTTTCAGTGTTGTGCAATGTCGTACTTGTGCTGTGAGTTTGATTGATTGGTATGTGCAGTGCCAGGGGATTTTTTTAATGTTTCTTGTATGTGTACTAATGGTTGTCTCCAAGCTATACCATTTGCTTAATAGACATCCTGCCTTGGTGCAAAAATGAGACATACTGTATTTGTGGGTCTATTTTGTACCACTGGCAGCAATGGGAACTGTGTCAATAATTTCAGAGGGAAGGGAAGTAGGACTGGTAGAATGATGTAAGTTTTATTGAATACTAAGTAATGTTCTTTAACAAGGCAAAATAACTCTTCTCTTACTGTTTTTTTTCATTACTTTTCTGTTTCCTTTGCTTTTGTCCCCAGTTTTGATCCTCTTATTTTCATAATCATGAGAAGCCAAATTAATCTCAGGTGTAAGACTGCCAAAACAGCTTTGGATTTCTTTGACTGTTCTGACTCTTTATACTTTGAGCCCAGCAGTGAGGGCCAGAGACTAGCTAGATCTTACAAGCTGAGATATTGAGTGGCTCATTAGTTTGGCAGATCCATCTCCCATTCAGCCTCGGATGTTCACATGTAAAGACACATCTACGTGCATCATGGCAGGTGTCCAATTCACTCATGAGTCACTTTATTTTCTTTGTGTATTAGTTATGCTAAGGTCATATGCTTTGCTTCCAATAAAAATCACTTACTCCCTCTGCAATTAACTGTGTCATCAAATCCTGAGAAAGTAGGAGGGAAGGGACCCGGAAGAAGAGGTTAAAATCAATCCTCCACTCAGAGAAGTAAAACAATAAAAATAGGGTGCACAGCTGGCAAAACTGTGGGGAGAAAAGGAGAGAAAGATTTTAAAAAATAGTCTCTGGAGTATAAGACTGCAATTAAGACTGAAAGTAGTTTCAAAGTGGCTGAGCAAAAGGGAGGGAGAAGTTAAAATAATGAAATGGTAAATCCACATGGGCCAAATAGAAGATCACAGTCAGGATCAATGAAAACAAATGATAAGCAGAAAAAGCAAAACACACAAAACATTCCTATCTGTAAGCCAGAACAAACAATCAGCATAACAACTTGACATGCTTTTCAGATTTCTGAAGAAAAGAAAATAGCTACAGAAATAGTGAGGGGAACAATTTGAGAAACTGATAGTGGAAATGAAAGACTTCTATTCAACAGTTTCTCTTTCTGTCTAATAATCTAAAAGTTTTGCTGTTCTACCTATAAACCAGGCAATATAAATTTACCTTTAAATGAGAGCAAACATTTTTTTTCAGTTTGTATGTATTTGCATTGTATATGTGGTATGTGATGGCTTTATTTCACATAATAATCTGTGTCTGTGGAATCGCTGTAATTTTTGTTCTTTAGTAGCCAGGTAAGTTGCAATGCAATATCTTGACAGAGAAGTGGCAACTCAGTGCACAATTGTACTAGTGGAGGTGGAGTAAAGTCTGAGGAGTCCCACCCTTGTGTTGACAACAGAGCCTTGTATTGACAACAGAGCGTAAATATTCTCCTTTACCTTAACAAGAGTTTGCGTTTCTGGAGCAGGGAAATCTGGTTTGCAACCCTGCTGTCCCCAGTATATTTTTGTATACATGGTAGTAACAAAACATAGGATTGCAACACCCAGGCCACTCACCTGTCCTCATCCATGGAGCAGTAAGATCTCTTTATGCTGGAAAAAAGCAAAAACGTCCAGCAAAAACATTCAGCTTCAAATTCAACTGCTTGGATTTCAGTCTTTGATGATGTGTATGACTAAGTTTCCATTATAGTCACTGGAGACTATTCAGTTCACCATGTACATTTATTTTAGGAAGAGCTGAGCAGCTCTCTAGACTAAGCCTGAACTCTAAGCTCAGCCGCATAAGATCTTGATTGACTATAACGGGAACTCAGACACCTTGCTGAGGTACGGACACCTGCGTGTAGGAGTCTGAATCTGCCAGCTAACGTGCTGCTCTGGGGGTGGCACAGCCTGGGCAGAGCACTGGGGTGTCCCCTGGGAGCAGGCTGGGTGATGAGCCTGGCAGCTTGGGCTCCGGCTGCCACCCAGGCCCTGCTGCCGCCCCCCCCCCCCCCCCCCGGGAGGCTGTGCAGCCCCCCCAGCCGTCAGCAGGCTGGTGAGCTTGGTGGGGTTCGCCCCTGGGCTGGGACCAGGCGTGTAAGGCATCTGGTGTAATGAAGAACTCCGCAGGTACCGTTTTGCTCGGGAGTGGCGGTTGTTTTCTCTGCTGAGGGCAAACATCCTGGCCGAAGCCTCTGTGTTTTATAACCCCCGCACGCTAAACATCCCATTGTCATTCAGCAGGCCTGCATGATTTCTGCTAAAAAAATAAACTGCGCCACTGGAAAAAAAGAAATAAAAGGTTAGGTCATTTGTTCTTATAAGAACTAATTATAAAATCCATGACTGTGTTATTTAATATCCACTTCACTTTAAGTCTGTTGGCAATGCTGCCTCCTGTATTTCCTGAACGTGTTCCTACAAACAAGTTTTCTGGAGGGGTGAGGGCTGATGCAGGGAGCTGGAAACTCAGCTGAGAGGGGAGAGTTACTTTTTGTATTTATGATTGTATTTGCTCCTGTATCTAACAGGACCCCTGACTTAAAAGATACTGCCTATCTTATAAAATAAAATGAAACATTACAGGTCAAATTCCTGTTGTCATAGCAAAACCTTACCAAATTAAAAAATAAAAAATAAAAAAGGAAAATATTCTTGAGAGGTCAGAAGTCCTGGAATTTTCCATGTCAAGCTGATCCGACACAGACAGCACAGACAGAAGAATTTTTGTACTTGTGGTTTACACAAGATGAGGTTAATATTGTCTTCCTAAATGCAACCTCTTTCCACAGTGATAGGATATCATGTTTCTAATTTTAATTACAGAGATGCGTGGGTTGCATCACTAAAATTTAGATTTGGGATAGGGTGTGGATCTGTAGCCCTGCTCCTCCCTGTAAAGGCTGGGACTGCTTGTGTCTGGACTCATCTTTTCAGTTAATCTGCAGTAATTAAAGGGTGCTGTGTGGGATGGGGCTAAAGAGAAACACAATTAAAATGTAATGCTTCTCCTTTGGTATCTTCATCCTTTTTTATTTTAAACCATCTTCAATGCTGTGGTAAGTTTAAGTCTTCCTGTATCACATACTGTACAAGAAGAAATATGTGAGTGAACTGTTGCCAATGTCTCTGAGCAAGCATGGGGCATGTTTCAGATTACACTGTGTTTTCTTGTTCGGATCTGATCTCCTTGCTAGGAGAGGCTGAGAAAGGCAGCTCTAGGGGATTTGCTTCTAGCAGCAGCAGCAGCACATGATCCATCAATCGCGTGATTCTCACCACCAAGGACTAATGGGGAGGGTGAAGAAAAAGTGAATGCTGCTTTGGGGAAGAAACAGCGTTTTCTTCTGCTCCTGGGGCCCCTCCACCAGCTGGATGCTTCATGGCTTCTCCCAGGCTAGAAACCTACTGCTGCCCGAACCGGGATGCAGCTACACAGCTAGTGATGAACTTCCAGCCTGAAGTCTTCTGCGGAGTTTGCATTGGCAGCGCCTCCGTCAGTCTGCTTCTGACCATCCTGCAGCTCCTGCCGAAGAAGGGACAAGGCCTGCGGAAAATGCCCAAAGCCTCCTCCTCTTCCACCATCCTTCTCCTTATCTCCATTTGTGACATCCTTGGTGGCTTAGGTAAGTGCCAGCTTGACGTCCCTCACCCTCCCTTGCTGTAGCAGGCTCTCGTTGCTCTGAGGTACCACAGACAAATGAAGCTGGTGAGTGGACAACGGGGATTTCTGAGGGAAATATGCTGTATGTATTCACAGGAAGATTTGGGCTAAGTGAGATCAGAAAAGTATGGGATTTGGTGGAGAAAGGTCTTGTTTAACAGATATATTTTGGAAGTAAGAGCTCTTGACAAATTTACACCAAAATCTCTGCTTTAAAACAAATTAAAATCTGGAACAGTGGCTGGTTCTCAGAGTAAGGCATAAAAGTGGAGGCGAGGCAGCACATTTAAAACCAAAGCTGACATCAAACACTTAGCTGAGCCTTAGGACTACATTTGAAAACACTTCCTATATGTCTTTAAATCCTCTCAGACCAAGTTTTCTGTCTTGTTCGTGCGCCAGCCGCTTCTCTGGGCACATCCCATTGACAGCAAATGAGTTTGAATTGCAGCTGTACACAGATCGTACTGGACACAGGCTTTTGAAATGCGAGTGAAGCTCCCTTATCAAGGACAACCTGCTGCCTGGCCCTTGGCTGATATGTTGATATAAACCAACAGAGAATAAAACAAAAGTCATGAGTCAAAGTGAAACTAATGTATCTAAATCTGTCCTGGCAGTCTGTGGCATTTACTGCCAAATTAGATATAAATTACCATGACACATGCTATGAAAATACAGGATGAGTTTGTTTCTGCAGTAACATTTTCCCCCTCACATGAGATAACAGAAGTAGTGCTGTTTTGTAAGGCTCTCTCCCTGCCTGGGGATGGAGTGGGATTTCGGGTCTTTTCCCCTTCCATAATTAGCCAGGTTCTTTCACGGTACATAATAAGCACCAATATTGAAACAAATGATGGGGAAATAAAGAGAGATGTGAAAAAGCGTGCTTGCATTCACCTGGAAAAGGTCCTTTCAGTCAGATGAGGCCACCAATAGTTAAAGTTATTTTTCTCCTTTTCTATTTCACTGGCAAATTCAAACTATTTATCCATCAATGTATTAGAATTAGACTCAGTTTGGTGGGTGGCACACCATTTTCTCTTGGTGGGAAACCTGGTGGGTTTGTTCTGCTATATGTTGGGTCTTTAATGACTATTTCAAGAAAGTCCAGAAAATCTCACTAAAAAACTATAAACTCATTTTTAAATATGGGTATTGCTCTCACCTAATTCCGAAGCCCTGCTTTGTTTGGTCCTGTGACAGAGAGGAAAAGAGCTGCTTGTAAAAATGAAGACAGCGAAAAGTGGGAAACAACTTTTTTCTGCAATGAGGAATTACAGAGAAATGAACATTAGCACATGAATATATGCCAGTAAAATTATAAACAGTTACTGGTTTATGCCAATCTGTAAAACGCTACCTGATTTATTTTAGGGCAGTGTGTGACAGTATCTATAAGTAAGTGAGACTTTAATCTGCGTAACATTTCAAGTCCCAGCAGCTTCAGACTCTTGCGGCTACTTTCCCTGAGCAATTACACCAATGTTTAAAAAGCTCAGTTGTTCCTGCTGGGCTCCTCTGCAATCGTAACCTTCTTGTGGACACACAAAATCTGGGGTGCGATGTGAAATTTGTGGCCGAGGAGAAGCCATGTGACTCAAATCACGCCAGCAGATTGAAAGCATTAATACATGTTTTTTGTTTAGGTATGATCTTCAGATCAAGTGTATGGCTAGGCTTCCCAGGCTTCATAGCTAACATTTCTGTGGTGAACCGGACTGACGTGTGGCCTTCTGCTTTCTGTGTGGGGAGCGCGGTAGGTACAGAGATCGCCCTCCCTTCCTCCTGCTCCCGGTTGACAGGCCCTCGGCGTGGGGGGTCTGGAAGGCAAACCGCTCTGTCCGAAAAGAAATTCGGCTGTGAGTCAGAGCCTGGCTATGATGGCTCCAGCCTCTGCCCCACCCCTGCAAGTGCGTTCATGCCTCCCTCCGAAAGCCTGGATCCGGGCGGGCAGGGAGCTCGATGCTGCACGGTGCGCGTGAGGACGCAGGGCAGCGCGGGTCAGGCTGGTCCCGAGCGATTTTGGTCCCAAGCCTTTTGTAGTACTCGCTTGTCGCAGGAGTGCTGGGGTAGTGGAGGGCAACACCTATGCTGAAGTCCGGGGTATGGAGACAGAAGGGCATAGACAATCCCAAATGGACTGTGAAACCACCAGTTTGGTTTGTGCTGGCACAGCATCACTAATGCCCCGGCAGCTCCGTCACACCCATAGCAGGAGGGTATTTGCCCACCTTCTCCTGCAGAAATTACAGCCTGCATGGTGGCAGTGGGGACTCTGGGTAACTCGGGTAGCTCAAATTAGCTTTTGTGGCGTGAGAGTGTGTGTTTTGGACATGGAGGGACTGCAGGATATATATACCCAAAGATGCAACACTGCTGGCAGAAGGTCTGTCCCTGCCATGTGGGATTACAGCTCAGATTGCTGTTTGTATGGCTGTTCAATGACTGCATCTGGACAAGTCTGATTAAGTATCTTCTGGATTAAAACACAAGAATACGAAAATGTAAATGCATTCTAAAAGTGCAGATTAAAACCCAGTTTCAAATATTACAATCACAGTACTGAGACATACAATTTGAGTTTACTGTACAAGAAAAAAGGCCATGTTTTTTACCAAAACATGGAGAATGACAAGACAGATCATCATTTTATCCAAATTCAGTATAGGCTGCCCAGTGAATTCAGGCATGAGCAATAACAGTATTAGCTTTACAATTCAAAGTTCACAATATAGAAGATATGATGCATGTAAACAAAATTATTCAGCTCCACTAGTTTTTTAAAAAAACATTATGTGCCAAACTGAAGTCACTGTGCTTATGCACTGTGTCTGTATAATAACAGTTTCAGACATGATAGTGTTGTGCCATGGAAGCAAATTATCAGTTGTACACATCTATCAATTCTCAATTTCGTCACACATGTTTAAGTTTTGTTTATTAGATGCAAATGTTGATTTTTTTTTCTTTGAGAACGAGGAAACCAGCAACATCGATATCTTGTAGTAAGAGCATCCTATTTAAGAACCAAGTTTCCCTATGTCTTAAATTTTACTTTCTGGCCCTTAATGCAAAAAATAGTATTTTTAAACAGTGACAAAGATACTGTATGCAGACTGTTTGTTTTTCATTTGGATCTCAGGTTAAATGGTGAGCAGCCTAGAGGTCTACCACAATTTTTATTTTCCCTTTCTTGGGCTCCAGCAAAGTGCTGTAATTCGAATCACTTGCTAAGTTTAGATTTAATTATATTGGAATGAAAAATAAACCTCCTTCCACTCACTTCCCCTAACATATTCTTGTGTGAGTTAATAAAATGTTTCTGATTCTGTTTTATTTTTCTTTTAGTACTATTGTTTCGTTTCATTTAACCACAACCACAAGCCAATACAAACTCCCAATAGTGAGGCCTTTAGGCATCTCCTTTGAATAACACCCTTTGGTTTGCAGAGGGGTTGCCTCTCAGGCACTGTAGCAGGATGTGTCATTTTGCTAAAAAGTAGGATAGCGTATGAAGATTCTGTGTTTAAGTGCATTTATATTATTTTTGGAGATAGTCTTGTCTATGTTGGATTTTCTGTGTGGAAAGACCCTGCAGTTTATTTTTATATGTGTGCATGTATAGTAAATTGTGCATTTTTCAACTGCAGCAAGTATGTAAAAGTGCAGATGAAGTTACGTGCTGAGTGCTATGGGTAAAGTGCATTAGAAGGAAGACTGGAATTTCAGTTTCTGGCTCCTGTGCACTAGGAAAATGTCATGGTGTTTGACTTAAATACTGAATAATACTTGCCACAAATGACTGCAAGTACGGTCTACACCCATGGTGAAAGGAAATATTTCCCAGCTTAATTTGCCTTTTGGAGTAAGGAATGGTAGATCTCTATTCACTGATGTTTGGCTCAGTAACAAGTATGTTGGTTTCCAGCTGTAAGTTGATGCTACTATGGAGCCATGATAAAGGATATTCAGATAAGAACTGAAAGAGGGCTTGGAGGGAAAGTAATCTGAATAGTAAAATAGTTCCAGACTATTACAAGGAGCCAGCTGCTATGGGGAAGAAATTTGGAATTTATAAACAGTGACAAAGAAAGGTCACTTATCTTATATAGGCTCATGGGAAAAATGCGTAGCTCATCAACACTGTAGAATTTGACTTGAACCTGTTTCCTCTTGATTTGTATTGAAGAAATCAGTCAGGGAGTTCATTACGGATAATTTTTCCAGAGAGTGAGTGATATTTTTGTTAATGACCTTTTTTTCTTAACAGCTGTTCTCTGAATCGGGTTCTTGTGCATGGAGGAAACACCCGTCACATACAGAACCCACGATGCATAGGCACACTGTGGTGATGACTGACCTCAGTTATATTTTCATGCCTCAGCTACTGAGAAATTACTAAAATTTTAACATAAAATTAAACCATCCTCACTATAAATTTCTTTGGACTTCACTCATGACATTGAGGGTTAGGACCGGAGAGTTAAATAACAGGTTTTCTAACCAACAGAATAAGCTGTGAAAGCAAATGCTGTTGAATTTACCTGTGACTTGACCCATTGGCTACAGCAATGCTGTTCCTGTGATTTTGAGTAAGATTTCATACTCCATAATCTCAGCTGGAAAATACACACATTTAAAGAACAACTCACCAGGCTAAAGGTTTGAGTCCCTCTCCTGTCCCCAGTGGTACTTGAGAAGCAGCTCTGACATTTGGCATTTTTTCCCTGCAGATGTGGATCCAGCTATTATACAGCGCTGGCTTCTGGTGGTTATTTTGCTATGCCGTTGATTCTTACTTGGTGGTAAGAAGATCAGCCGGACTGAGGTACCAGAGTTAAAGCTCTGAATTTGTTATTTTCCTTCCAACACTGTATGCCCATGTTTGTCTGCAGCTATCTAAGTGTATAAGTGAAGCTTGTACAAACATCTGATGTTCATACGGGGTTACCAGGTAATGATACGGATGAGTGGTGTGCTAAGTGCTTAAATTGCCAGGGCAATGCTCAGGTATTGATTTATGTCCAACTGGAATTTAAATGTAATTGAATTCATTTAACCTTTGGAAAAATAGGGAGCAGATCAGTCTCTATAAACTTTACTGCAGTGAAATAACTATTCTTGTCCCTGCTCCGGACCTGAAATTGATTCTTGTGGCAAAAAAAAAAAGTGTTATCCTGAAAATAAAGAAGTGGGAGGGGAACAATGCTGGATTTCATATAGTTTATTCTCGAGGGTTTTTTCTCAGATTTTCTATTTTATCCACGTCTCAGTGTTGTCATTATTACTTTTCTGATCACATTTGTAAAGTTTTTAAGAACGATATGTATTTACTATATATTTTGCTGCAATGCCGGTAGCAGAAGAACCTAAACCCTTTGGAAAGTACCACGCTTTAATGCTAAACGGAACATACAAGGTGTTTCTAAGTTGGTTTTCAGAAGGGCAGAATGACCTTCAGTTGCTACTGCTAAACATGGATTTATGTGATTCTGCTCCCAGATGATACTGAGCAGTCAGGTACTGGAGACATCGTTCATCTGGCAGATGTTATTAAAATGGGGATTTTTGAGTTAACTTCAGCCTGTGGAGGATAAACCTGATTTTGTGAAGTCCCATAGTTCTAGTCTGAACCAGCTGGGACCTACCTTCTTCCCTCATCCCTGTTAACCAAAAAAATCATGTGTGTTTGGGCTTGATTCTAAGATCAGAGTAAACAACAAAAGACTTTCCACACACAGAGATCTGAATCTCCCTGAGATAGGAGCTATATCCATCTCTGAAAGTTAAACATAATTATCTGCAAATTAGAGAAGGGTGGTTTATTTGACTTATCGGCTCCGTTCTTAAGTTTTAATCCCCAAATTTGGTCTCTGCAGGAGAAATGAAGGATGCAGGGGTTCCTTCTGGAGATTTGGTGGGTAAGGGAAAGGCTTTCCACCCTACAGGTTGGAGGACACAGGACTTCTGTGTGCAAGCCTGAACAACTTCTTTGGCTCATCCTTTTTCCGAAGGGGCCCCCCTTCCCTCCCCACTTGCTTTCCTTAGTTTCATGTACCGCCAGCGTTGTTCTGCACCGTTTCATATCTGTAAATCTCTGTCTCAGTGAGGCTCCTATTTTTGTGTCACAACCTGGAAAGTGTAAAGTTGGGTATCTGTAATCACGCCTGTCCTGTTTGGTGCCTGCAGTACGATTGTGCTCTACCACATGATGACCTGGGGCCTGGCGGTGATGCTCTGCGGGGAGGGGATCGTGCTGCTTTACTACCCTTCTCTCTCCAGGTAAGCAGGGAACAGACTGCGGAATCGCAGCGTCCTGTGGCTGGTTGTATGTCTTTCGGTCAGCTTTAAAGACAGGCATCCAAATGTTGGGCTTTTCTGATCTTTGACAAGCGTGTCCCAGTGAGCCGGTGAGTGTTCTAGAAATACCTGCCGGGGCTTCAGGGGGCCCTGAAGAAATATGCCAGGCAATGCAGGCATTTGGGCATGCTGCAGGGCTGTGATACACCTTCTGCGATGAGACACTCTTCTCCTGCTCCCGGTTTTAGCTTTGTATTTGTTCCGTTAAATTTGAGAAAAATGCACAAACAGTGCATGTTAAAAATCAGCTTTGTGTCCCATGTGAACTGGTGGTGAAGGTCTGTGAATTAAAAGTGTGGCATCTGATTGCTTCATTCCTTCAAGTTAAATGTGACATAGACAGAATAGCCAGAATTGTCAGCTGTGGAAAAAATAATGCATAAGCTGTTAATACGTTTCTTCTCAGCTGTGAAAATGGCTTGGAGCATGCAATCCCACATTACATCACAACCTATGCCCCACTCCTGCTAGTGCTGGTGGTCAACCCAATCCTGTTTAGGAGGACAGTATCAGCAGGTACGTTCCTAATGGCCAGCATCAATCAGCATGTGCTATTTAGCAACATAACAGTCCTGTAAAAATTCATGTCTGTGTATTCAGTGATGTGTGATAGCGCCCCATTAAATCATAAAGGTACAGCAAAGGGTGGGAGGGAGTTGCCTGTTGAAATTAAGATACCGTTTTGATGGGAAATTTGGCCTAGAGACACACTCTGATGATGTACTCAAACCTCTACTGGCAAAGTTGTTTCTATGTTACTAAATTAGTCTTCATTTAAAGTAGTTGAGTCAGTGTATAGTGGATGCTTAACTCTACTGTAGCATTAATACCAACCCGGACTTTGGAATGTAATTTATTTTCTGGTTTAAAGATAATGTCGGTGAGATCTGATAGTTGATTCTTGTCAGCCCTGGAGCTAAAAAAATAATAAATTATGATCAGATTTTTGTCACTCCTGATTCTGAGATTGTGAAACAAATGGGAACTGTGCACAGTCAGATGGGATCTTGAAGTTCCCATTTAATATATTATCCAGTGCTCTGCAGAAATGAGACTGAAAAAAAGTCACCGATTCAATGCGTTCTTTGCATGTAGTATGAGCAGTGCTAGATGTTTGCAGTACCTGAATTCATACTTAGCATTTACACATTGAATATATAAAAACAGCAAGAGAAGACCTTGTATTCTCAGTTCAGTCTCCATCCCATCTATTTTGTGTCCCTCCGTAATACCCATTTTCAAAGAAACAGTTGTTCCTTCAAAATGCTGTTACTATAAAAAGTTGTTCTTTTTATGGGAAAATGCACACTGAGTATATTTGTGTTTGTTTATATGTATGTTCCTTGTGATATCTGAACAGCATGTGGCATAACTGTTTTTGCAGACATGGTACCTTCAAGTTTTGGAGGTGTAGTCAATGCTGTATCAATTGCACAATGAAATATAATGTGTATAGTAGGATAGAATGTATTCTATTTTAGTCTAAAAATCATGTAGTAAATATATCACGCATTATATAGAAGTTGTAAGCACTACCCTTTGTCAGAAAAGTATGTTAACCATACTATTGTCTATTTTCAGTGGGACTGAGAGAAGAAAAAACAGCTAGTGGGATATCACACATTTTAGAAATCCATAATGGACATACATCTTTTCCTTTAATATTGGGCTGTATGTGATATTCCTTGAGGATGGTCGTTCCAGCTTATGAACCGTTGCTGGAGACAAATCCGTCCGTTCCTTTGTTCCTTCTTTACAGACATCTATCTTCTGGATCCTTGAGCCTATAACTGACAAGATACACGTATATTAATGAACATAATTGTATACTTTCCAGTTGCCTCCTTACTGAAAGGGAGACAAGGGATTTACACAGAGAATGAAAGACGTCTGGGGACAGAGATCCAGATCCGCTTCTTCAAAATTATGCTGGTATTCATTATTTGGTAAGAGGTGCATTATTTTGTTTTAAACTGGCTTTTTGCCAGTTGGAGAGGGTCAGGGACAAGAATAGAGCTTGATGGGTTGCTTCATTTCTTTGTCTTTATGCTTGGAAGGGAAGGTGTCTAAGGAAAAAGTAGTTCTAAAGTAGTTCACAAAGTAGCTGAATCATTCATGTAGCATCACAAGGCTGCAAGGAAATGATAAAAATGTTTAACCAACAGGAAAACAATAGCCCCATTAAACAATAGCAAAAAAAAAAAAAAAAAAAAAAAGGTTGGGCATAGATTAAAGCTGTCTGGAACAGCAGCTACCCAGCATTATAGGCTGATAGATGGCTTTCTGTATTCAAGATTTCTTAGAGCCTCTTGTCACGAAGCACATCACTGAAAACCTACAATAAAATATCCTTCTAAGACTGGCTTCATGGCCCTGACTATGATTATATAATGCAGCCATTTCTATGGTCTGCAGATCCCAAGTGTGTGAAAAAAGCATGGATATCAACTGGAAGTACAGGGTTATATGCCAGAAAAAAAGTCTCCATAAGATTGTGTGTGAAATCTCTGATCATTTAATCTTTTTAAAATATTCCATCTTCCTCCATGCACATAATACTTTGGGGTAGGACAGAAAAGAGATAGGGAAGGGAGGAGAGGAGGGAGGGAACAAGGGAACTGGGGAAGGAGGGAGGGTACACTCCTCATCCCCAAATCCCTGCACCTCTGCTCCAACAGCACCATCCAGCGTGAAAGATTCTGGAGTGGTAACTGGAACTGGAGGTACTGGATGCACACAGCAAAACTGAGCTGAAACAGGGCCTGCTTTTTTACTGCAATCTCACAATCATCATGCGGCACTAAAGGCCCCAGAAGGAGTGGTGATCCACTCTGCAAGGGTCTGTGCAATGACCTAGCAAGAAACAGTCACGGCTGCGAAGTGTTTCCTACCTACGTGGATGACACAGGCAACAGTGGGAGGGAAGAAATGGTCCTGCAGTAGTGAAATGACTTGGCCAAACTTAACAGGCTCTACAGCTACTTAACTTTTTTAGACACAGGTGCATTAATGCATGTTACACTGCTTTAAAAGGCAGAGCAGGGAGAAAAACTGCCTTTTTATCTTCTCCTGTTGTATACCGGGGTGGTCTGGAGGGAAATGATTGTCTTTTCTTGGGGAATAACCGAGTCTGCTTGGTCGGGAGAGAGGTTTCTAGTGCAAAGGGTGAGGTAGCCGTCAGGGGAGGGGGTGAGAGGCAGCAGCGAAGCATCCTGCAGCGTGGCTGCCTGGAAATTGCTGAAATAATGACAACCAGACATAATGACAGATAATGACAGCCAGGCTTCCAGGGCTGTGGAAAGAAAGAGCCCAGAGGCACCACAGAAGCACACTGCAACCTGAGGAATGGTGGCCAGCTTGCTGGTCTGGGAGCAAGCATGCAATAAAGACCAATGTCCCAAGGACACAGTGGGGTCATTTGCTTATTTCCATTCTATCTCATTCTGGGTTTTCCTATAAAAAAAAATAATCATAGCTCTAGTGTTGGATTTTGTTCTCCTAACCTAACAAAACATAAGCTTCAGAATGTAAAAACTCTCTCAAAACTTACTTTATGGAAAGACTGAAGCGGTTCCATCTCAGAAGTTTAGGGAAGATTCCCTTCCACCCCAGAAGTCAAATATGAGATGAGTTAGTCAAAGACAGCACGTCGGGGCAATATGGGGTGGAAGAGATGACTTCAGATTTGAGAGGAGAGAGCAGGAGGTTTTATACTGTGGTAAAAATATAATTGCAGGAAGGACATGCATAAACCCCTTTAGAAAGTACGATATGGATGCTGATAGTTTCCTTTCTGAGGCTGCAGTAAAACTGTAAAAAATGCTGGTCTGACTGTTTAGAAGTCATAAGAAGTTACAGCCATTTGCTATAACCTTTATTTAGTGTAGAATATCCTCAATCTCTTCTACAGGATGAGGCTTGATTATGTTCCTCCATCTTTGGCAACAGAAATTACCTTCATTCCAAAAATTTGATGGCATTTTCAAGGGGTTTAGAGTCAACTTCTGTTTTGCTTTCTATTTTTTTTTTTTACAGACATTTTGAAAGTCTGCTGTAATATAACCCTGAAATTTTAACTCCAGCTGGAGTTTCGGCAGCCTTTTACAACACATATGCATATATTTGGTTTCCTTATCTGTGAGTACTGTCCTTTTAAGACACAGGCAGAAGTCAACATTCATGATGTTCCCATTATGGATTGTGGTTGTTTCTCATCTCAATTTTATCCTTCAATTTACTGCTCTGCAGCAAGCTCAAATGATCAGGTTTGGTTTGGTTGTTTTTTTTTTTTTTTTTTGGTATATTGATTTCTTTGACTAAGCCTGCGCTAGTAGGTGAGCGTCTGATTTTTGAGCATGATCTCAGAGACCTACTGGTCCCTTCAGATTGAGACTTAACATTAAAAAAAAAATCTCACTCTCCTTATTACTGATCTTAATTTCTATAATTTGAAGGTAAATCATGTTTTACATATACATACATATATAGATATATCTGTCTTGTTCTTCTTTACTCCTGCAATAGTTGGTCGTCCAATATCATCAATGAGAGCCTTTTGTTCTATCTTGAAATGCAGCCAGATATCAATGAAATGTCCCTGAAAAACATCAGAAGTGCTGCACTGATCACATGGATTATAATGGTAGGTCAGCTGTGACACTGCTTAGTCTTAGAAATAACTTTTGTAAGACTGGTGGAACAGCACTAGTGTAGTGGGTGGTTTATGATTTTTGGGGATATAAACACTCTGACAATCAAGGAAGAAAAGTGGAACATAAGAGAGAGGAAGGAGCGGTCACTGGGAGTGCTTTTCACATACAAACTTTGCCAAAAATGTACTAAAGGCCAAATTTTTCTCCCATTTACAGGAGTATGCATTCTCTCTATGAGTGATTGCTACCCATTTTAAGATCCAGAACAGTCCACTGCAATGATTTCTAGTCTAACCTCTGCCATAATGCAAGCTACAAAGTTTTAACTCATGATTCCTGAAGGTCTCACAATAAAATGGGCATTTTCTGGTAATTCTCTGTAACTAGGGTTTTCTTTATTATAAAGAATAATTGCATCTTATGTAATGACATTTGGATAATTATTTGGTGACAAATACATGAAAAATCTTGAAAGCAATGCACCAAAAAAATAGCTGTAAAATGATGGCCTCTTATTGTACCCTACCCTTTTTTCTCCTATTGCAGTATTTGACAAGGGATTTTTCAGAGGTGATGTTACAGGTTCCTTTTCCAGGAGAGTTTAATCTGGAGCTGTTAAATACTTGTAAGGCCTAAGCATGCTTACTGTAAAGCCCTTGAGTGTTTTGGCATTGAAGGGTTAAGTGATGCAACTGATTTGATACAACCTCCTCCTCTGACAAGGGGTGAAAACGTTCATGTGACAGGGACCTTGATCTTGCTCACCTGGAGAGCAAGAGGTCAGGTCTAGGAACTGAGGCATTTTTTTAAATTGACTGTAAACATATTTTGCTCTTTTCTCATGAGAAAAATTGAAACAGCTAAACCCATTTTCTTGCCAAGCATCCCACAGCACTGGGAACAGAGACACTTATTTTGGAAATCACTTGGGGTTTCCTTTTTCAGTGTCTCTCCCTGTTTTTCCATCCCACTTCGATGGACATTTTCACTGGCTCAGGAATCTGCAGCAATTCCAGACAGATCAATTCCTGCTATTTTAAAAGGCTTGACTGTGCGTGCTAGTGTCTACTTTCATATATTTGACTTGGCTTCTAGTGAAAAATACAATATTTGCTTTTGTGAATAAAAATGTCTAGTGCTTGTAGGGAAAGTTAGAAACACACCAGGGGACTGACCAAATAAAATTAATGCTAGAAAACTATTTGGTGCTCACTGTTCACTGGGATGTCCTCAGCATACTGGATCAACAAGTCGTGGTATTTCATTCCAATTTGTTTGTGTCTGCAATGGGAAGAATGTACATTTTTGGTTGCATGCAAATAGCATGTTTTAAAGATAGCAATCGTTCAGTGAAAGGGAAGCTGTTAATGCATATGAAATATTTTGCTGGAGCTGAAAATGGAGCGTTTCTGGTGTAACTCCTGTTGCACTTCTCTTTCCTAGGGGATTCTTAATCCAATGCAAGGCTTCCTCTTCACATTGGCTTTCTATGGCTGGATGGGATGGAGACTGGACCTGAAATGGCGAAAGAGAGAAATAGCCTGGGAATCAATGTCCTCTTCAACTGTGGGTGAAAATGCCTATCCCTCACCAGTGAACTACCAGAGCAATATCCATGATTCAAAGAAGATATCGACCACTGACAGCCAGAACACCGACGAGGCTATAAGCATGTTGTCTGAAGGTAACACTAGTGGTGATGACATATTAACCAGGAGCTCTCCCATCTACCAGGGCTGGTAGGTTACAGGTGCAGAGCTGGATCCCACTTCTCATATTGTCAAGACTCATAAAACCATGTCACTGTGTGAGCTGTTGCGTACTCTGGAATTAGGTTTGTGCCCAATGGATTGATGTAATTTCCTATAACTTGTGTGTGTGAGAGAGAGGTCGTGTGAGGTGGAGCGTTATTGTGGTTTCTGTCTTAATTTGCATTATAGGAGCTGTGTTAACAGTTATAAAGACCTGATCCTTTATCCTATATATGATCCTTCTTCAGCAGGAGTATATCTCTGCAAAGATCTATGTTACTTATGTTTAATTTTCATCCATTTTGTTTTAATCTCTTTTGTAACCCCCCATATGGTAGAAGAGTCGTTTGTTTAAATAAATGGATTATTAACATGTAGAGTCTTTAAACGTGTTGCCTTGCTTGTCTTGATCAGCAGAAAATTTCTTACCCAGAACTATAGCTATAGGTTTTTTGAGACACCATTTTCAGCCTTGATGCTCTGGTAAAAAATTAGTGACAACAAACTTTGACATAAGAGCAAATATTTCCTATTTGTCTAAAATCACACCGACATAGTCATCTTTTAGCTCATTTATATGAATTTTCAGTTTGGTTTTATCTAGGGATAAGATTCAAGCCCAGCCGAGGCACCTTAAACACTTCAGAATAATGGTTCCAGTTCACTCCAGGTTCAAGTGAAAATAACCCTTCATATTATCTTTTAGTATGGATTCAGTTTTATCTTATATGTATTTGTCTGACAGGATTATGACTGTTAGGGGCAAGTGCATTAAGACATAACATTTGCAAAAAACCCCTGGATGATCTGAGTGCTCATCAAAAACCAGAATAAATAGAATCAATAGTCTTTTCTCTGTGGTGTGCTCTATTTTATGTCTTCATCTGCTGAACAAAGAGATATTAAATCCATTCTCCTTATCTTCTCAGATATGTACCTCTTCTGGTGCAGTGCCCTAAGTACCTATATGCAAACAATTGCGTGGATTGGTTGAAAGTTAAGAAAAAAATAATGACCGTGTCTACTCCAGGCTTTTGACTTCATTCCAAAAGTAAAAGTCGTACAATTTATGCCTGGCTATGCTGGAAGCTGTTTGCAATACAGTTTGGCTGATGGCATGGTGGAAGCCCCTTGAGCCCAGGTAACACCCCTTCAGCGTGTGGCCAGGGCCAGGCATAAAACAAAACCTATGTTTGAAACCCTGTCCCCATCCACTTTGGCTGAACTTCACTGGCTGTCCACACCTTTCTTTTCCAGCTCAGTTCAGTCCCAGCTATTGTAAAAAAAATAAATATATTGTTAAAAATAGTTGAAAGGTTAGTGCAATAATAACATGAAGCTTAAGCTGCTGTTGTTATTTAGGGGAGTCCCAGGATGGTTGGAGATGCAGGATCAGCAGAAACTGTACAGAAAAATATTGACTCACTATTTTAAATAAATTGCCTTCTTGAACTAGTCATTTCGATACAAAGGTGTGAAAAAAATATTGGATCGTTATTTGGGCAGATCGTTGCAGAGCTGTGGTTGGTCTGTAGCAAATTTTTACATTGTGCACTGTAGAAACCTTTGTGGGTTTATGGCTTTATATTGCTATTCTAGTTGTCAGAAATACTGGCAGATCACCAGATCCTTTCTTTTCATCACAGTCATTTGTTTTCTAGCAAAGTATGAAGAGAAAGCACAGGGACTTGGGAGCAGATAATATTGATCCTTTTGAAATAGAGACCACATTTTCAGTGCAGAACTCATCACAATTGGGTTCAAAAGATCAGGAAAAAGGCGGAGGTGGAATTGTTGGTAAATCTTTTCAGATGCTAGGGTGTGGGCCAAGCTGCAAAACCCTAAAACCAAATAAACAGGCTCTGGCTTCACAGGAATAATCATGTGGCACGAAAGCACTTGGGAGGTGACAGGCTGTAGCAAGAGGCCCTGGCGAGAGGACTGACCCACCGGTCCCTCCTTCCTTTCGCTGCTCCAGGGCACACGTGGGACAGGGGCAGATGTGGTGCCCCAGCCCCCCGAGGCTACAAGCAGCCCCTGAGCAGTGCCGGGGGGCTGCTGGCACTGAGCACCCCTGCGCGGGGACAGCCTCCTGCCAGGGCTGTGCTCTGCTCCCCTCCTTTTCTTCTTCTTTGCAGGTCGTCCTCGGGATGCGTGCGGTGTGGCTAGGTGTTCGTAAGCTATTGGGGCGTCATCAGGAAAAATTAGGACTCATCTGAGAGCTTAAGAAAGACAACTAACCTAATTCTGATGCACTGAGAAAGTGATATGGGGCTTTGCTGAGCAAACTGACAGTGGTTTTTAATTTACAATAGAAGTAGGTGTGGGGAAAGTTTCCTTACCTGCTGTTCCCAGGCTCCAGTGGATGCACATGAGGCATTCCTCCACAGCTTAAAGCTGGGTGATAATAGGTTCTCCTCGTGTGCAACCATGACCACACTGGACTTTGGTCCACACAGACCTTGTTCTTGTCTCACTGTTCAACAGTTCAGCATTGCCTTCAGCGGGTGCCCACCCCTTCCCATCGGGATCATGCTTTTGAGGTGCATCTCCCGACTGCCCCCGCTGCTTGTGCTTGCTGTGTGCGCGCCATGGGGCAGCCAGGGGCTGCTGCAACCCACTTCATTTTGGGGGAAATTAAGTGTGTGCTTCAAGGATCAGTGAGGGCAGACTATAGACACGATGTCCTGGACAGTATAGCTGTAATGCTGACCTAACCACTGACTTCTTAAGTGTGCCATCCACTCTCTGCTGAGAGGAGCCTTGTGCTTTTCAGTACATAGAAAAACATCCTATTTTTTGCTTCAGTGATGACTTTTATCTGCATAATCATCATAGTGTGTTAATTCTGACATCTGGATTTCCAGCCTATGATCACTTCAAATATGCTGATTGCCAGGAGCATGCTGGCAGGCTGCTCTGGTAAATGTGGAAAGTGCTTGACTCTGGCCTGAGTATTTGTTTTCTAAGCTGTATTTCAAACGTGGCTGGGGTTAACAAGAGAGATCTTGTCAATACTGAAGTCCGTAGATGCAGTCAGAGCCTATTGTCTTCATTTTCCACCGTCTGTGGGCAGGGCTCTCTTCCACCATCGCACAGCTCTTCTGCTCCCGAGCAGGAATGCAGCCGTGGCTCTGGGATAGCAAGGTGTGACTCAGAGGAGAGGTAAATAGAGAACAAGATCAGACATTGTCTAATGAAATGTAGGTAGCTAAAGTGCTGTTTTGAAAGTACAGCAACTGTTAATGTTAGCTTCTGGTATTTTGGGCATATCACAGCACAACAAAGCCTTTCTGAATATATTGAAGGGGAGAAAATGGTAAATTTTAAAAAGTAGTTGAATCCATGCACTGAAGTAAAATTGCTATAGTGGAATCTCATAAAAAGGATATCTAGGCATACAGGGCAGTGCAATGGATTTGCCTGTATTTATCACTCTCCTTGCCCCCCCGGCCAGCTTATCAAATCCAACCATACACAGTAACTGTTCAACAAAACTTATTTTTAAGCCCTCAGAGATAAAACGAAAACTCCCAGGAAAAGTGTCTTCTCATATCCTGTAATACTTTCTTAAACACTTCTAGCTGTTCTCTGTTGGTGGAAGAGGACGTATGGAACTGTATTTGACCTGTCAGTCTCATACATTTAATTACTATTTTATTTGGCCAGATGCTCAGTCTAATTGCAAAGCTGAAATATGAGCACTAGTAAAATAACAAACTACTTGAATAGGCAGACTTCTTGCATACCAAACTGCATTTATGAGCTCCACCATATGTCTGAATACAAAAATCTTGTTAAGCCCTTCCTCTGGTCCTATAGAGCAAATATATGGAGAAACCTAGGAAGTGAAATGCTACATGTGATTCTCCCCTGCATACCCTGTATAACAGGACTTGCCTTGTAATTCAGAAGTCATCCTCATGTATTCATGATGAAAAGTTATCATCTGATCCAAAATTTTCTTAATTTTCATGGATTCCTCAATCTTACAGTAATCCCAGATGGAAATCACTACACAACATGGTAGCTAATGTAATTTTAAGACAGTTCAGATGATGTCTGGGTCACTCATCCTTTAAAGAGCAGGTATGCATCTGTGTGGGCATTGAAGTTTGCAGCTGAAGTGTAGTCTTACTAAGAGAAAAATAGGGATCACAAGCCAATCCAGGGATGCATTTGAATCTTTTTTCCTGGGCAGTTTATATTCCCTGAGATACACTGTGAGCTGTACAGAAAGCTGATTTTTCTACCGCACCTCCCTGAGCAAACTCTTAAACATTCAGAGAGCAAAAATCATTAGGGGATTTGTAGGTAAAGTTTTCAAAAGGTTAAGAAAATTCACTGAGTGATTGTAGCATTTGAGTTTACGCCCAAAACAAAACCCCAAAGCGAACTAAAGCACTTTCCCCCACGCAGCTAACAAGAACGGGTGTCTTTCCAGCTCTGTCCAGCTTCTGTGTGCTCACCCTACACACGATTGAACGAGCCCTAGGAAAGAAATCAGGCCACCATCCCTAGAAAGAGAACTGCTGTAGCCATCCCTAGACCGTTGGCATCCCCGAGGTTTGGAGCTCGTTCCCAGCCAGTCCTCCCCGGCCCCTCTGGGGACATTTGGGCGTGAGGCACCGTGAGGGCCTGCTCGGCTGTGAGCTTGCCCGCCTCCGTCTGCCGAAAGGAGCAGGAGGCGCGGATATGTTTTCGCGTGTGCTGCGTAATTGGAAGCCCTGAGAGGATGTTTTGCTGTTGATGGTGTTGTCAGAGCGAGGGTTGAAAGGCCGAAGGGGTGGGTGACCCTGCCGGAGCCCCCCACGGCTGCAGGGCTGCGTGACTTGGGTCAAACGCAACACAGCGGAAACGTTGGCGGGAGCCGGAGGTGGCAGCCACCTGTAGAAAAGCTCGTGCTTCTTATTAATATAGAAATGTCTATGTCTCAGAGGTTTCAAGGTCAGCTCTCAATCTCAGTTTGAATGTCTTCAGGGTTAGGGAGTTTTCAGGGCCCTGGAAATTCAGGCTTCTCTGCATTTTGCGGGAGTGATTATTTGGTGAAGTGGCTAGCTGATAACAAAAAATGAATTTGATGGGCTCCTTCAATGCCTCATACTTCATGTGTGTTTTAATGAGTTGGTATGGGCTAAGGCAGGTTCAGGCCAGTTGTATTTATTGGAGCATTAGTTAATGTGATCACTTATAATGATATGAACTTTTAATATGTTGTTAGCTGTATTTGCTTCTACAGGACTTCGTGACTGAGCCTACATTTATCTCATATTTTTCTTTCAAATACCTTTTACAAGCAGAATGAGAGGTGAAAGTACAATACCGTGTTAAAGAACTACTAGAAAAGGTATCTGTTAGTTATCTGTATTAGAGCAAGTTCCTTTTATGCCCAAATGACTATCACACCCTTAGTTTTAGAAAAAGCTATAATATATCTGGGAAGCTGGGCTAATATAAAACCAATCCATGGAGTCAGAGCCAGAGTTTGGCTGTGTACAATCCAGAAGCTGCATAGTGCAGTGGAAGTACCATAAATGTGTAGGACATGGG